GCCTCACGCCAGCCACCCCAACTCCACCCTGACTCTGTCCTGATGCTGTGCACCTGTACGCACTGCACACAGCATCAGGATGTCCTCCCAGGCAGCGCGTAGACGCGCTGTGCCGAAAGGGCACAGAAGAGCTGCGGCGCCGACTCTTAGGGCAGCCTTTTGCTGCCCCTAAAAGGAGCCGCATTTTGCTGCTCTTTTAGTGGCAGCAAAAGGGAAGAGCGGGGTTGCGGCGCGGGGTTGCCACGGCCCCAATTTGCCGCTCGCAGGGGCAGCCCAGAGGCGCCCGAAATGGGCCGTAGTCTCAAAGGTGCTACAAGATCTCTCTACATACTGGTTCTACAGACTAACATGGCTATATCTTTGAATTCTACCATGTAGACAGTGCCGTTCATCTAGCCAGGTGACAGGGAGCCAGGAATTAGCAAGCAAGTACAACCCCAATGTGACAAAGGAGAATCATAGATTCATAGACTCCTAGAGTTGGAAGAGACCCCCCCCCCGGGCTATCTACTCCAACTTCCTTCTGACATGAAGAAATACACAATCAAAGCCCTCCCTATGACAGATGGCCATCCAGCCTCTGCTTGAAAACCTCCAAAGGAGACTTTACCACCTTCCGAGGCAGTGTCATCAAATGTTGAACAGCCCTTACTGTCAGGATGTTCATCCTAATATTTAGGTGGAATCTGTTTTCCTGGAGTTTGTAACCATTGCTATATTCCTGGTTTCTGGAGCAGGAGAAAACAAGCTTGCTCCATCCTAAATATCTGGCATCCCTTCAGATATTTAAACATGGCTATCATGTCACCTCTTAGCCTTCTCTTCCCCCAGCTAAACATATACAACTTCCTAAGTCACTCTTCAGAGAGCTTAGGGGTTTCCAGTGGTTTCTTAGTGATTTCCATGTTTCACCATTTTGGTCACCTTCCTCTGGACACACCTTGGCTTGTCCACATCCTTGTTAAATTGTGTTGTCCAGAACTGGACACAGGATTCAAGGTAAGGTCTGACCAAAGCAGAGTAGAATGGTACTATTACTTCCCTTGATCTAGGACACTACACTTCTACGGATGCAGGAATGCTACCTGGACATTAAAGTGGTTTCCTTATTTCCTCTACACACAACCATTTTAGTATCGGGGTTAGCTATCTAGACAGGTGCATTTGGGGGCAAGGGAGAGGGTGGCATGGCAATGCTGCATGGCAAAAGGCAGAAACTTACAAGGGCTTGAAAATGTTGGCAGTGCCAACCTAACTTACAGTTGGTGTAGATGGGCTTCCTGAATGGTCTTCCCTTGGAGAAGACAAAGGCCACAATGATGCAATTGATGGTGACCAATGGCCACAGGGTGGTAGCTTCATAGCTCAGCACAGCGTGTTCCAGGTTTGTGGAGTTGGCTGTCTCATTGC